AGTTACCTCCCTTGTTCTCAGAGTTCAGCCTCTTCTAGGAATGTGCTAGCTAAGATAAATGGCATATTATGCACATAATTTAATCTTTGAATCCATGCTATAGTTTCACAAATGACATTTGGTACATAGTAAAGCACTCTCCATGATACGCATAAGTCTGCATTTCTCTTAGGTTGTTATAGACAGTTGCTTATTCCCCTCACACAGTGTTACTGTTGAGGTAGAAAAAGCATGTGTTTTAACATTAAGTCTAGGTTTCAGTTCTTTCTGTAGCATTATGTTTTTGAGTAAGTTACTTGGCCTCAGTTTCCTCAACTGTAAGATGAGATTGTTTCTCAACCCTGTAGTAAGGACTCACTAAAGTAATATGTGCCTGCAAAAGTGGTCAGTCATTCAAGTGTTTTCCTCTACCTTGTTGCTTTGTTAATTAGCATTTGTGTTGAGGGGAGAACAGAAAGAAAAAGTAATCAAAATGTAAGAGAAGAAATTTGCTCTATTTTTATTTTAAACAAGTAGCCATTGATGTCTCTGCCCACATTAATGAAGATAAAAAAGTTGATTTCTCATAAAAAGAGTTTTTTTTTAATAGAGAGATCAGGTTAACCTAACCCTTCACCTTCATGGATTTTAATTTTTGAATAGAGACTGGAGATGATTTGTACAATCATCTTCCTGAGTGAGAGCATGAATGAAATGGTTAACCCTTTAAGAAAGATGAAAATGTAGGGAATTTTTGAAGCCAGAAGTTCATATCCAGCCTCAGTGAGGTTGCGAGTGATCTATTGTGGTAAGAGGAAGGAGATCTGGGAAGAAAAGCTAGGTGTGGAGAGCCAGTTGAGATGAATTTTAAAATGAATAACATTGAAAGCCAAGCTATCATGCTGTACCTTTGATTCATTGGGTTTTATTTTTCCTGTGAATGTGATTTTAATTTATTTAAACACTAAATTCAGGGACACCTGGCTGGCTCAGTCAATGGTGTGTGTGACTCTTGAACTCAGGGTTGTGAGTTTTTAAGCCCTACTACGTTGGGTATAGAGATTACTTTAAAAAAATAAAATCTTTAAAAAAAATTCATCATATAAAAGGTAATATAGCCATGCTTAGTGTCTTTTCTCCCCACAGTTGTATATATCTGTCAATTTCCTCCATACCCACAATTTTTAATTCATCTAGTAAATAATAATCATTGTATGTTTTTATTCTAAAAGAGTGACCCATATCAAACCAATATTTCCTTTTAAAAATTATCCTTTGTCTTTGTATAGCACTTACAGCTTACCAGAATAGTTCAAAGTCTTAGGAACTTAAGTTCAGAAACTAGTTAACCATCAAGTTATAGTGTGATGAATGCAATAGTAAAAGAGAAAACAAGGCATATTACTTAAACATTAGATCAAGAAAGCAAATAAAGGAAAATTTTTTATTCCACTTCAGTTGATCTCATTTTTAAGAGTGAGTGAAGCCCAAACCACTATGTTGGCTTTGAACACAACAGAAACCAACTTGTTACTACCCTCATTGAAATAATATTCTTAAACTATGTTCAGGTATGTTCTTGAAATATAATACTCTTATTTGCTTATTTAAGACAACCATATTGATATCTTTATTATAAATTGGCTTCTCAACCTTTAGTTTCTATCAGTTACCTGGAAGTTATTAAGCTACATTTCCTGGGTCCTACCTCAAGAGTATGTAATGCAGTAGGTCTGGGGTGGACCCAAATGTTTACATTCCTAAGTTCCCAGGTGATAACTGATAACTGTTGGTCCAGTGACCATACTTTAAGAACTATGAACTTATTCAAACTCAAAATATTTTAATGGTGGGCACCCTGGGTGGCTCAGCGATTTAGCGCCTGCCTTCAGCCCAGGGCCCGATCCTGGAGACCCAGGATCGAGTCCCACATCAGACTCCCTGCATGGAGTCTGCTTCTCCGTATGCCTGTGTCTCTGCCTCTCTCTCTCTCTCTCATGAATAAATAAATTAAAAAATAAAAAAATATATTCTAATGGCTTTCTAATATAAACCAGTAATTGTTTCAAATCTAATTGCTGTCATATTGACTCTTTGACTCTTTCAGACTCTTTCAGTATGCATTTGAACTTTTCCAGTGCCAAGCACTGTGTTCACTTCTTCACAGAGGTGAAGATAAGGAACCTCTCTCAAGGAACTCAGTCTGATAGAGTTAACAGTGGTAGTATTATTTAAGCTCCTTTATCCTTACAGGAGTTTTATGTATTGAAGTATATAATCCTCATTTTAGATTAAAAACCTGGGATCTAGAAACGTCAAATAATTTTTTTCCAGAATTCACACAGTGACTGTATAAAGGAGCTGGAATTTGTTATTCTGCTTTCCTGGTTATGCAGTATAAAAAGTTTGTGAAGATTAGGGAACCACAGAAAAGATGGACTAACTGGTTCTACCTTAGGAAGCCATAAGGCATTACAGAACACCTGGCACTGAAGCATCTTAAGGAACAAGTACAAGACAGCCAGATGATGAATTGGAAACCATGAGCATTTGCAGCAGAGGGAGCAGTTCTGCAAAGCCATGGAAACTTAAGAGAACCTATGTTTCACAGATTATAAAGAGTTACACAAGACATAACACAATAGGCCAGATGAAGTGTGAGAAGAAAGGAGACCCTAGAAGACAGGGGTCAAAGTCATGAAGGGTAAGAAGTTTTATATTCCAGGTTAAGGTTTTAAAATAGAATTAGGTTTTGTTTTGTTTTTATTCTTCTAACTTTCATCTTTGTAAGCCATTGGTTCTCAAAGTATGGTCTATCAGGTAGCACAATCAGCATCACCTGGAAAGGTGTAGAAATGCAAATTCCTGGGCCCCACCCCAGACCTTCTAAATCAGAAACGAGGTGAAATCCAGCAATCTGTTTTAGAATTACCTCTAGATGACTGGTGCATGCTAAAATTTGAGAACCACTGCCATAGGTTATATAGAATTCTTTAAAAAATAGCCTTCAAATAGCCAGATATCACTGTAGTAATAGTAATTGTATCTGACTGATTTAATTAAGTGCAGTGCCTAACAAAATTGAGTTGTTACTACTTTGTAAGGGGCACATCTTCAGTATGATCCATTTATACTTTGCAAACATAGCCCTTCATTGCTGTGAAGGAGGTCTTAGTTAGTAGAATTAGAGTTTAATATATCAGCAAGAATAAGATGCTAATTATTGTTCCTTAGCCTAAGGGAATGGTTTGGAAACTTACTAATATTACTCTAATCATCAAAAAAAAAAAAAAGCAATAAATCCTTTTTAAGGGTTAGGGACTTAATTTTTCGTTTCATTTTGGTCGCTTGTTAGTATTTAAGGTGTTCTGTTTAAAACAGATGTGTTAAAAGAATGTATTTACATCAAGAAACAACTAAAACGAATTTACCTTTTCCTTGACATAGAAATAAAAAATGTAGAGTATAATCTAGGATGGTCAGACAAACTCTGATCTAAATGCCTAGTACTGTCTTTTCTGCAAATTGTAGCCAATATTTGGTGAACATATCCACGTGGTGTCTGAACTGAACTTTATACCAAAACCTTATGGTTTATATGATTGTTCTATATTATAGTTACATGTAGCCATACTTTGTTTTGCACTGCTTTCTACAAGCATTTAAAGCCTAATGTATATAAGTATTTGTTAACAATCTATATATCCTTTCTAGTTATTAGGTATGCAAAACCCGTTTTCATCTTAGAAATAGAAGCAAGAAATGAAGGCGTATGCTGTAATTAATATGATTAATGCTCAGATAAACAAGCTTAGTGTCTTCCGTGTATTGATTCAAGGATCTAGAAATAGGAAGTCCACTGAGGTACTGACAAAGAACTCTTCATTTTACACATGAAAAAATATGTCCAGGGAAGTTAAATACTTGATTTGCTGATGGTCACACAGGGAGTGAGTAGCAGAACCAGGATTATAACTAAATCTACTTGGATTACAATATCAAAGGCACCACTACATAAGACGAAATATTCCTGTGCCTCAATCTGATATCAGTCTGAGAGCCCATATCATCTAAAATAGAATAGTCTTCAAATACATTAGCATCTAAATTTTCTTAGATAGAATATACTTTATGAAGAGTATTTTGCAAAATTTTGTATCAAAATTGTTTAAAGACCTTTTTTGTATTGATAAAGTATTTTTTGTCTTTACAAGAAAATTTAGTAACTGTTCTTCAAAATTTACAAAAATACCAAGAAAAGGATATAAATATGTACTATTCTTACTGTTTAAGAGGACAATTATTGAACCTTCCGTGTTCTCATACAACTGCTAGGGTGATAGTTGAACTTGGGATATACTTACTGCTAGACTACTTCCAAATATTTCCAGGAAAAACTGGGCTAAACCACATACCATTCATTGTAGGTGATTTTTGCCGGCTAGTAAGCTACAATTAAAGTATGTAGATTTGCCAGAATGTTGGGATCCTATTAACCCACCTGCAAATATCATTTGCCCAAAGGCTCTTTATAAGCTGGTTCTAGAAATTTTTAAACGAGAAGTGATATCTATAGAAGGAAAGCCTTCATCTGAATTTTAATGCAATAAGTGACCACTAGAATTTCCACATGAAAGTCAATTAGAATATATAATTTGTAAATGAAGTTTAAGAGATGTGGAGAGTGTGGAGAGATACATTCAAAATGTATCTTTTTAAAAGTTCATGGAGTTAAGAACTCCTGAATAGAACTGGGAGTTGGCTTTTAAAGTAGCATATATATGTCATGGGAATTTAGAAATGTTGGAACTATGAAGCATTTTTAAAAGTCCTCTATTTACTGAGATCTCTCACTTTCAAAATGAGAGCTTTGGGTACTGAGATTATGAGAACAGACTTAATAAGCTATTTTAAGTTACTATTTTTGGCTTTATGTAAAACATGTTTTTAATTATTTTAAGAGTTGGAAAGCAGGTTACATTTTTTAGAATAATTTAATGAAATATTCTAATTTTTTCCAGTGCATCTGGGGGAGGTGGTGTTGTAGCCATTGACAACAAAATAGAACAAGCAATGGTAAGTAAAAGTTTATAGTTCTCTCTTTCATAGGTTGTTGGTTGTAAGAAGCAGTTGGTTTTTATCAATTCTAAGAAAACACCAAATTTCTTTAAACCAAGGTAACCAAAGTATATTTTTTGATAATCACATTTAGTTGAACATGCTAGAACACTGAGGACTTTTAATCTAGAAATACCAGTGGAGTTAATATTTCCCCCCATTTGAACATCTCACATTTCATGCATTACCATTGATGTCAGGGCCATTTTGAGGGGCATACATAATCAGAATGCATTATGTGCCTTCAGATATTTCAGCATCAAAAATAGTTGATAGACAAAACAGCATTAAAATGAAAACTTCAGCTGGAAACCTTTGTCATGCATTTATAAATGCTGTTTTTAGTCAGTTCTAATAAATAGACCTTGTGGAATCTGTTTCTGATTTCTATTACTATCAATTTTTTTGTTCCCTTAAAGATACTTTGTTCATATTGTATAAAATATTTTGATTGAAGCTTATTAAAACTATAGACTATAAATAAGGACCATTAGTCTCAAACTATTTTTCTATAAAGGTTTTAGAGTTGGAAATAGTAGGTCACTTTATCTCTTAAAGAAGTGCTATAACTAGTTTAATATCCTTTGTTCTCTTGGTCTAGCCTCTAAGCATGTGATTTTAAACTTTTTTTTTTAATTCTAAGCTTGTAATTGACAATTTAAGGAGCCTAGTATTTTTGGAAATCACTCCAAACTTTGAAAAGAAATCCTGGGCTTGCTGCCTAGTTGGAAACTGGATTTTTTTTCCACCCTTATCTCCTTTAAGGCCAGTCAAGATACAGTAGAAACATTAAAAGCAAGAGCACAAAAACTTAATATAAAAATGCCTCATGTTTATAAGGCACCAAGTAGGCCAGAACCAAATAGCAACACCTTTCCCTTTCACCGTTTTTGACATTGCTAATTTTGTTTTTCACAGGATCTGGTGAAAAGCCATTTGATGTATGCAGTAAGAGAAGAAGTGGAAGTTCTAAAGGAACAAATAAAAGAATTAGTTGAAAGAAACTCTTTACTTGAACGAGAAAATGCACTGTTAAAATCTCTTTCAAACAATGATCAATTATCCCAACTCCCAGCCCAACAGGCCAATACTGGTAGCACTTCTCAACAGCAAGCAGTGATAGCACAGCCTCCGCAGCCAACGCAACCTCCACAGCAGCCGAATGTCTCCTCAGCATAAAGCTTTCTTGCCTCATTAAGAAAAAAAAAAACTGAAAGCAATCTATCCTTGTGTGCCACTGGTATTCTTTCCACTTTATACGAAAGCAAGTAGCCATGCTTCGGTTGTGTGTTTGGCCTTTTCAGTATTAGACAATCATTCTACAGGAGCTTTTCCTCCCTTTGAGATGTCATGCAGCGCTGTTGATGTCCAGTTTTATGTCATCAGTACACAAGGAGAATAATAGATGGGGTTTATTAAAGCAAGCAAAGTCTGCATTTTACCTGGTGCGCATGAGTGGGGTCTTTTAAGAGCTTTGGTGGCTCTCCCGTTTTTCCTATTACCCATGGATTTACCCTGAGCCTTCCTATCACATAAATAACAGTTCATCTAAAGAGCCACTTTTCTTTCAATATCAGTAACATTTGCCTATGTAAGTTTTCATTTATTTGTGTTTTATTTATTACAGGGCTGCTATTTTCATAATGTACATGAACAATGTCACAGAACTTTTTTAATTTTTTTTTGAATAATTATAAGTATCAGTAAAGGATTTGAAAGACAGGATTGCATTTAATAGATAAAACGTTTAGGCAATAATTGAACAAAAGAATCCTGGCATATTTCTAACACTAATGGCAATTTACCTTCGGTATTTATTTTCAGTAGTAAAGACCCAGCTTGAATGTAAATTTTGTATAGTGTAAGTATGAAGAACATAGTGCAACTGTACAGGTAGTCACCAGTTATTGTGATATAATAAATAATTGGGCTATTTTGATGAAGAAAACTGTTCATTTGTTTCTACTTTCTAATAGAGAAATTGCCACGATTCCTCTGCTTTTTGACATTTCGTATGACTTTCTTTTTTCGGGTGGGAATAAAAAGCTGTGAAATTGTTCAACCTACTTTGTAACCAAAGAAGCAAAGCTGTGTAATGGAGTTTTTTTTATAATGCACATTCTTTATGTATTTTTATTTAGTGTTTTCTCGGTCACAATTTTCTTTGCTGTCTAGCATGATCTGCATGATCTATAATCTTTGAACCACTTTCGTACCTCATGTTTTTATCCAGCACTCTTATTGTAATATGTACTAGTCTGTGAACAATGTCAAATAAAAAAGAACGAACAGGTAGTATGTTGGAGCTGAGCTAGTGTACTCTACACTAGTTGTTAAAAAAAAAAAATGAAGTGAGCCATCTTTTGTTCATTTAAAATGGTGTTTTGAATTTCGTATGCAGAAAACGTTTTGTTACATTGCAGATTTTAATGTATTTAATAAATGCAACATGCAGATTAAGTGCAGTGTATACTGAGTATTTAAATTAAAATGTACATTTCATAAATACAGTTTCAAGAGAAAGCATCATTTTGTGTATACTAACACATTAAGTGTATGTCAGAAATTGATGTATAAATATATATTTTAACACATTTTCTGAAATTAAACTGCAGTTTTGTTGAAATATTTGGCTCTATATGTGTTCAAAATTTAATTTGATTAGATTTGTATTTTCACAGTTCAAGATATTCGTTAAATGAAAACCTGTGTTATTAATGAGTTAATAATAGTTCTTACATTTTCAAAGTAAAATAATTTAAAGAATGCAAGAATGGTGAGCAATATTTGTACTCAAGACTCATATTATGTCAGTGACATTTAAGTAAATCCTTGTCTACCAAAACTTTTACTTGAATTCAGAAAGGTGCCTGTAGAAAATTAACATGCTTTGTGTCTATAGCCAGCTAGCTAATCAGGAGTTAATGAGAACCAATAGTTAGCTCTCCGTATTGTTAAAAGAGGATAAATAAGTGTTCTTTATTTAAAATTAAAACTCCATCAGATTTAGCCACAAACTAAATGCATAAAGTTGGGGTATATGTGGGATCACCCAGATATCTTCTATTCCAGTTGTGCTAGAAGATATATTGTTGAATATAAACAAAATTTTAATCTTAATGATAACATTAGAAATAACCAAGGAACTAATGTCGTGTGCTTGAAGAAAGAAGCTATCCTGTAGATGTGGAGTAAGATTTTAAGTAATCACCCACAGATGAGTTAGAAAATGAAATTTCTGTGTTGGAATGTTAACCAGAAGGCTCACCGAATGTGCCCCTCAAAGTGCAGAGTGTGATATTTAATACAGGCAAAGAAAAACTAGTATTGGGATTTTTGTGAAAAAATAAAGTTTGGTTCTTGGGATAAAAAAAAAACACTTTATAAATACAGAAGTAATTACAAAGGAAATGATAGGTTAATTTTAAATGGTAATTAAAAGCAATTATTACTACATTTTTTAAAAACCACCACGATAGAAAATATGGGTAATTCACAGAAGAAATAAATGACAGTTTATAAAGTTTCAGCCCCTAGTAACGGAAAAAAATGCAAATTAACATTTAACAAATTGTCATTTGTCTTTTAAATAGCAGGACCTAATGGAGAAAGGCAAACTCCTCTGTAATTCTAGAAAGTTAACTTGACAATATGTATCAAGAGCCTTAAATATTAATAAACTTTTCAGTTTAATAGTATAAGAAGATAACTCATGGTGCAGTGTTCAAAAATGACAGTAGTGCTCGTCCTTTGCTCTCCCATTCCCCGGCCCTTTCCCTTTGGATCTCCCTCCTCAGTATCTACCCCTGAAAACAGCTGTGAAAGGAAGCTTCTTTTCAGAATCAGATACATTGTATTTGGAAACCGCATCAGATTATTTCCCCAAGTGATTACTTTGTTAGACGTCAGGAGATTTAAGGTCTCTTGCTCTCCATAATTCAAATATTTATTAAGATGCTAATTTTGGGCCACAGTCTTCTAGGAATGCCATCTATAATTTTCTCAATGCAATGCCCATAGACCAAGGTGCCGCATAAGTTTTCTGTTGGTTACTTTGGCCAACCAGAAAATGCTAGGCGAAAATTTTTCTGATAATGGCAACGTGTCTGCAGTACAAATCTAATTTTCCCCAGAAATTTATTTTAGGTAGTTGATGATGTGATTTTACAGCCTGCTACACCCCACCCACCCACCCCCGAAAAGTGTTAACGAAGTATTAAGTATGCAGTTACTTTAACTCATAGCTGTATGTTCAGAATAACTGGATGTTTCCAATTCTGTTACAGACGTTCTGAGCTAAGAAGTATTAAGACAATGCTTTACCATCAAGTCCCTAGAGATGAGTACTCATAACTGCTTTTATTCACAAAGAATTGTCACAGATGAGAGATTGTGATGTTCCTCCGAGCTCCAGACTCTAGTCATTCCTAGAGCTATTTAAAAAGAGCAAGGGAAAGCCCTTAAAATTAGAGTAACAAAAATACCTGTTCATCATGGAAATGTATCTCCGTAGAACCAGAAATAAAATACCAGTTGATTTTAGGGGAACAGATGTTTAAGATGATCTGAAGTCATGAGGTTTTGTTTTTTGTTTTTTTTTTTTTTAAGGAGGCTCAGTGGTGGGCACTTTGTAACATGACTCAATTTTCTTCAGTAATTTTGTTAAAAGGACAAAGCCCAGCTCTAAAGACTACCAACAGTTGGAGGGCATAGATGAACCAACATGTACAATGCAATAAACACAGGGAAGGATGGTTTTGTGAAGGAAGGTCACCTCTTTGAGTGATAACGATAAGTGCCCTGATAACGAAAAGTGCTCAAAAGCTTAAAGGAGACCCAAACGGTTGGATAGCCACAGGATTGTTTCCCAGGAGACAGGCAAAGGCCGACTCATCCGCCCCAGCAGGTTGGCATCTAGAGTAAAGATAATTTATTGAATGATTTTAGGCAGTGGGATTGTGATCAGATAAGCATCGGGAAAAAAAAATCCTTGTAGTTATCAATGATGGGAGGTAGATAGGGGAGCTGAAACCACAAGTGGAAAATTTATTTTTCCACTTGTGGTTGGAGAGACACTAATCCAGAAATGAATAGGCAAAATTGCAAAATGATAAATAGGTTTGTGATACTCATGAGGAAGTTTGTCCTGGATCTTTCTATACCATTCCTAATGTCAGGTGCCTATTCTTTCTGCTTCCAAAGAAAGATCTGAGAACCCCGAGTCTTACAATGTTCTAGTCAAGACTTTTCCTTCCAACAACCATATACCTCTAGGAACTGAAAGTCTTTGTTTAGGGGAATTTCACAAATTTGGCAAAAGGGTAAGGAGAATGGAGGAACCCTGGCTATCACATTTATGCCTCAGTCAGTTCATCCCTGCAGGTAAACCACATTTAGTCCTTTTATGGGGACTAGGATTAGAGCGGCCCAGAAGCAGGAGTCCCAAGCCTGCCGTTCAGGGCTATCCCTCCCCAAAAAGGAGAACGCGGGTTCTGGCCCCGCTGCAGATACCGAAACCCAAGTCAAAAGAGGTTTTGCTGGCTTCGACTTTAATTCATTCTTCGACACGGTTCGACCCAGGAGGGCTTCTCTTTCCTGGGAGTCTGCTGCCTAGCAAAACCACCTCTCCCCACCTCCGGCCGCCTCAAACCTCGGAACTCCTGTTTCTATTTTCTAGCAATACTAAGGACTTCTTGTTTGGTGACGTATATTTGCGCCCTATTTTCTCCTTTTCAACCGTCTAGGTTGCTTCCCTGTTACATGTATTTCTATGCTGAAGTCACAGAATTTCTATAGCAAAATGTGTTCTTTGAATGTATGTATTCCTTTGTCAGCGGAGCATATTACTGCACAAGTGCTATTTAATGATCTCCTTGGTGGGATATAATTGGTCTAACCTGCTTTGTTCGCAGATGAAAGATGCTAAGTGAGGTACTATACAAAGCAAGTTAAAGGTCATAGACTTTTTTTTTTTCCAAGACTCATCATAAATAAAAGTAAGACAGGATTGGTAAGAGTAAAGTATGAAGTTGGTATTTTGCACTGACACAGTCTACTTGGTCATAAAATTTGTTCCACAGAGCGAGTTAGCTTTATTTTTTTTCTTCTTCTTCTTCTCACCAGAGAAACTGATAGATTGGGCAGTTTTGAGCATTTTCCCATGATCTGATGCCATGGTTTGAGCTATAAAACAGAGCATCTAAATTTACGGACTAAGACATTGCCCACAGAAGCCAGTTACCTCCTTGATAGAGGGAAGGAAAAGGTGTGCCAACTGAGATCATAAAAGTAACTGAATTTTAAAATAGGGCAAATGCCGCACTTCTGCTCCCCCCCCCCCAGAAAAAAAAAGTTGTTACCTTTTCATTTTTCTATATAACAACTGTACAGTATTCTTGCCCAGTGCGATCCAACTGTTTTCCAGATCACACTTCTTATCATTTCACAGACGAGCATCTCATCTATAGATAGATCACACCTGAGGACGTCCATGGACAGCAAAGGAATATTTTTCTCACACTTGGCATGAAATAATATCAGGTCAGTGTCTTATTCTAGTGTTTCTACTAAAATACATAACAATATGTAATTTAATCGGGTGTCTGATGGACAGAAAAATAAGTGCGTGTAACTTTGTAAATCCCCTCTAGGTTTTTGCTTTTTGAGAAGTTTGGGTTTTATTTTTTTATTTTATAGAAACATTGTCGAAATGCACTTCAATCCTATTTCAATTCAGGTGCTGCACCCTGGACTAGATATTGGGGGATAGGAAGATAAATGGAACATGATTTGTGCACTCCAGGAGCTATCGTCCAATGTAAAAGCAAAAACTAAAGTGCCATTGCTTATTCAAAGTATGTGTCATGGTTTGTGGACCTCGTATGATCTGTTGAATGAAAGGTTCATGTAAATCAACAGTGATATTGCCATGCCACATGAAACCCTTTGACATTGCCAGGAAACAACTTTAAATCACCAAAAAGCTTTAACATCAAACAATACTTTTAAAAAGAGGGGACTTGGTGAAAAGCTTCCTATCTCTACAGTGAGCCTGTGAGGTGTCCCCTAAAAGAGAGAAGTTTACACATTTTTTGATATTCTAAGTTTGTAGATAATGGAACTGATTTAAATCAAACTTAACTAGAATAGAGTTTGTGTGTCATGAGTTATATTATCTATTGTCTCATAAGGAACACACTCATTATCTTGGCTGACAAAATCAGCTACCATTCAACGAACCAAGTTAAGAATAACTCAGGTGCCTGATGCCAAAAATAAATCTGATAGAGCTGAGAATCCAGAAACAACTTTGTACTGAGTAAAGGATAAAAGTAACATTTCAAATCAGTAGGGGGAGAATGGATTATTCAGCAAATAGTATTGGGATGACATAACTATTTGGAGGGAAAAAAAATTTAGATCTCTAGCTCACAAAAAGTAATTCCAGCTAGACAAGCAGGAGGTCTTACGCGTTTTGGTCACATATCCCTTATAGAAATCTCCCTGTGAAATGGCGGATAAGCAAAAAGTTTTACAAAATTAGGAAGAGAGGCCCAACCTCAGCAGAATAAGGGAAATGCACTTACTTAAAAAATAAGAAACTATCTCAAATCCAATTGGCAAATA